GGACTATAGGTTCTTGTTTAAGTTAAATCTTATGCAGACTAGCCATCTGTAACTCTTTATCTAATAAATACGTAAAGTGTGACTATCAAAGGAAAAAAAAAAAAAAAAAAATTTAAAATATCATATATATACATTTTAAAATAATATGCAGGTCCTTAAAATAATGTGCAGATACATGTTATTATATAAAAATACAGTACTAATATTTAGTAAAAAAAATAGCAAAAATATTCTTATATAGTTTCTTTATATAGACCTCTTCTTTAAAGCCAAAAAAGTAAAAAATAAAGAGTAGTTGCAGTATATAATAACTAGTTTAAAAGATGTAGTACTGCAATAGTATTTGAATAAAGTCTAAGTTAATAAACAAAACTAACTATTTGTAAGCTAAAGATAATTTTCTACTAGTATTAAAAATATATTCTAACTACTCTGTATACTAACAACTTATAAAGTAATAACTAAAAAGTCTAAGACAAATATCAATAGCTAAGAATATACAGAAAAGTTTAAAAACCTATTATAGTAAATAAAAAATATTGCTAAAGCAGACAAAGTGATATATTTTATTAAAGAACTAAAAAAAAACACAAAAACTAAAATAAACTATTAGGCTTCAGAAATATTAAATAAAGTAGTAAAATTTATCACAAGTTATAATTTAGCAATATATAGTATAAAAAATAGTTATAGTTACTTTTTAGAAAGAAACTTAAGAACAAGTAAAGAGAGTTAAAAATATAAAAATACTTAAAGCTACTTACTTCAAATCTGAAACCAAAACCCTATACTAATAGAATTAGATAGAATTTAAAGAAGGCCTTTAAAGAATAATAAACCTATAAAAAAAAGAAATAAAAGAGTAATATTAGCTAAAGAGCAAAAAGATGAATTTAAAAGAAAAAAGTTATTCTTTGTATATAGAAAAAAAACTATATAGCAAAAAACTGCTAAAGCAAGAGTAGAAGAAATAATAAAATTAATTAAATAGAAGAAATAAATAAAAAAAAACAAACAATAAAGAAAAAAAATAAAGCTTACTAGAGACAGATGAAAACTGTGAAAACTTTTTAAAAATTAAAGAAAAAGTATAAGGTCAAAATATATTAATTCTAATAGACTCTAAAGTAACTAAAGATTTTATAGATAAAAAATTTAGTAAGAAAATATAACTAAAAATAAAGAACAGAAGTGCATATACTGCAATTGAATCAGCAGATAGCTTTTGATATGAATCTAAAGAAAGTATATTAAAGATTATAATTAAAATACAAGATTATAAAAATATAAGAAAAGATATAGAAATATTATCTCTATAAAAATATAAACTTATATTAGAAAAACTGTAGCTTTATATTTTAAATCTAAGAATTAACTAGAAAAAGAATTAAATTTTAATTAGAAAAAACAATTATATTTATAATATTAAGATAGAAATAAAAAGAAATACAAAAGAATACTAAACAGGTCTCATTCATATCTAGACAACAATTTATCTAAGAAGTAAAAAGAACAGTAAAGTTATATACTATACTTGCTATGAAAAACTCTAAAAAAGTAACTTAAATAGAAAAGATATCAGAATTCTAAAAGAATTAGTAGAACAATATCAAAATATATTTTCTAATAAACTACTTAAAGAATTACTACAAAAAGAAATATAGATTATAAAATACTATTATAAGAAAGGATATCTCTACTGTATAGATCTATATACAAAATATTAGTATTAGAAATAAAAGAATTAAAAAACAAATAGAAATTACTTAAAAAAAAATTATTTAATCTAGTATATTACTATATAGAGCTTCTATATTATTTATAGCAAAGAAAGAAGAAATATTAATAATATATATTAATTATTATATACTAAACAAAATAATAATTAAAAATCAATATTCTTATCATATATTGATAAGTTATTAGACTAGGTATTAGATATAAAATATATTAATAAGATAGACCTCTATTCTAGATACTACTAAATATAGGTGAAAAAAGAAGATATATTTAAGATAGTATTTAAAACAAGATATAAGCATTATAAATTTTTAGTTATGCTATTTAGTCTAATGAATGTCTCTATCTAATTCATAAGGCTAATAAATGATATCTTCTGAGAACAACTAGACAAAAGTATTATTATATATTTAGATGATAAACTAATATATAGCAAATTAAAAAAAATATATTATAAGTATATTAAAGAAGTATTAAAAATTCTAAGAAAGAATAAGCTATATAGAAAAATAAAAAAATATAAATTAGAGAAGAAAGAAATAAAGTTTTTAAGATAATAATTTAACAAAAAGAATGAAAGTAGACTTTAAAAAAATCAAATAATTCAAAATTAGTCTACACTTATTAATATCTATAACTTTTGTTCTTTCTTAGATCTCAAAGATTATTATCAAAAATTTGTAAAAAATTTTGTAAATATTATAGTTTGTTGACAAAATTGTTAAAGAAAGATAAAATATTTGAATAAAAAGAAACACAAGAAACAGCTTTCAAAAAGTTTAAAAAAAACTAAAATCTGACTTAGTCTTAGTAATTCATGCTCATAACTAATATCTCAGATATTGCAATCAGTACAGTACTATTCTAAGACCAAGACTACAAAGAACAACTAGTAGTATATAAATTAAGAAAACTAACTCCTGCAGAATTAAACTACTCTATTCATAAAAAAGAGTTACTAGTAATTATCTACATATTAAAAATTTGGTATATATACTTAGAAGAAAACACTTTTTAAGTTATAACTGACTACAAATTATTAAAATACTTACAATCCCAAGCAAAGTTATTATGAAGACAAGCTTAGTAGATTGAAATTCTACAAGTCTACAATTTTATTATCAAATATCAACTAGAAAGAACTAATGTAGTAGCAGATACATTGTTAAGAAAACTCAAAGTAAATATAATAACAGAAATTAGTATTAAAAAAACATATACAAAAGAATAAAAAAAGAATACAAAAAAGATACTTACCTTAAAAGAATCTTAGAAGTATTAAAAGATCTCAATAGTGAAGAAACCAAATGATTAGAAAAACAGATAAGTAGATAACATGCTGATTTAAGGATTCCCACACTGTATTAAAAAAAGAAAATACATAATATTACATAATAAACAATCATTGAAGCAAAAATAAGAATAATTAATACTGCAACTAAATCTAACCTCATCAGTAAGTAATCGCCCATTGATACCAGTGTATAAAATAGCATTATAAAATTTGTGCGAAGACAACTATCTTACTAAATTCAATGAATTTTTTTTTTTATGCTCAGTGACTGTTGAGATATCTTTGTTCAAAGTTATAAAATTTTTGATATTTAACTTTTTAAAACATTTTAAATTTTTTTTTTTTTTTTTTTTTTTTTTTTTGAAACTTTGAACGAAGATATTTAATAAACTTTTTTTATCTTTATTCTAAGAATTCATCTAATTTGGTTAGAAAAATTTTAAGATATCTTTTCTCAAAGTTCTTAAAAAAAAAAAAAAAAATCAACATTTATATTAAAGTAATAATTGTGTTAAAAATTTTTTCTAAAACTTTAAACGAAGATATCTCAACAACCACTGAACCAAAACTCAAGCATTTTTTTATTTTTATTTTGATTCTTACAAATTCGTAGGATTAAAATAAAAAAATTTAATTAAATATAGTAAGATGGTTGTCAATAGCATTATCGTTATATATTTATAATATTATACAGTAGCTATTGTGATATCATTATAGCATTATATTATCAAGCATTATAGTATTATAGTATTATAGTATTAAAGCATAATAGTATTAAAAAAGCATAATAGTATTAAGGCATTAAAGCATTATAGTATTACGGTATGACATTACGGCATTACGACATTTAAGTTTTACGGCAGAGATCTCATGGTATAATATAATTATTCTTACGTACCAACAAGTCAATATTTTGGCAGGTATGCCAATAAATGGGTAACATGTAAATATTTAGAGATGGGTTTCGTGTGCATGATTTGCAAATAAATACGCATTAATGCGCATGACCCTGCTTTCATGCGCATTTTATTTTATCAAGTTTTTAGATAATGCATAAGATTCTAATTTTAATTTAATGTTTTTTTCTTATCATATGCAATATAATGCACGTTAATGCGAATTCATAAGCATGAATGCATCTTTAGTAATATTATAAAGAATATATTTTTTCCTATCTCTACGTATTAATTTTATAAAGAATATTTTTTTTTTCTCATATCTAGAAATTTTATAAAGAATATATTCTTTTTTTCTCATATCTAGTAATTTTATTTTTCTCATATCTAGTAATTTTATAAGGAATTTATTTTTATCATCATCTCTAGTAATTTTATAAAGAATTTTTATTCTTTAATAAAAAAAAAAAAGGTGTTATTTATGAACAATTTATTTCGGTCAAATAAATTAATACTATATGATTTTTATATGAGTAAAATAAATGTATGATACTGTATAATTGATATGATAACTAAAAAAGATTAAAAGTTTTTTAAAAATACAAAACTTTACAAGTATTATACATTTTGAAATAAAGTGATTTAAAAATGCGAAGTGTGTGTTTATAAAATAAGTATTAATTAAATTTATAAATAAATGCAACTGTGAATTTATATATTATTTTCTATAGAAATTAAACTATTAAGATGTTAATAACATCTATTCACAAATGTATTGTAGAAAAATTTTTTTTTTCTTGTAATTACTTTAATAAATTAAATAAATTTAATAAAAGAAAAGTCCAAATAATACAATAACAACCATTTGCAAAAGATTGTTATTGAATATTCTTGTAGCATCGGATTTTTGGTTTGTTGAAGCAGGATTATCAGTGTGAACTGGGGTAATTGGTGATTGTTGTTTAGGTGGGAGGGTTGGTGTAGGAATACTAGAAGTTGTTGTTGTTGTCGAAATAGTAGTAGTAGGTGCTGCATTAGGCAAGGCAACATTCTCTACATAAGGATTATTGCCCATACATTCATAAATAGGTTTTATATTATAATTAGCTTTCTTAAGGATTGGCACGACCAAAGGAATTTGAGCAGCGGTTTGATTATATAAGTCGTGTTCGAGGGAGATATGGCCAGTGTTGGCGAGTTTTGGATCAGATACCCATTGAGTAAAGTTAGCAGTGATCCAGGAAAGTTGGAAAGTTTTATCATCTGCTGACATCCAATCGTTTGTATCTAAATCCCAAACAGTTGGTATTAAACCAAGTTGAGTTGAAATATCACGAATTCGGTCATCATAATCTCCATATGGTGGACGCATGTATTTAGGAGTAACACCAATAGCGGCTTTTATAGCATCACGAGTATACATGAGTTCGGCAATAACTACCTCACTGCTTTCAGTTGTTAACATAGTATGTGACCAAGTATGTACACCAATTTGATGTCCTATTTAAAATAAATAAATTATTTAGTATTGAAAAAGAAAGTTAAAAATAAAAAAAAAATAATAATACAGTAATAAGAAATTACCTGCTTTATAAGCTCTTTGTAAGATTTCGGGATGTTGAATTACATTAGAGCCAATAACAAAAAAGGTGACTCTAATATTTTGGGTGTCTAAAAAGTCCAAGACTTGTGTTGTAAAATCACTAGATTAAAAAAAATGAGTGTTAATATGTTAATACAGTAATATTCATTATTCACAAAATAAGGATTACTACATAGATTTTAGTAAACTTACGTTGGGCCATCATCTAAAGAAAGACCCCAATCTAATCACAAAAAAAAAAAAAAAAAAAAAGTTTTTTTTTTAATTAAAATATTATCAAAAATTTTTATTATTCATTATTATTTTTTAATCATTACCTAATTTCTTAGGACAAAAATAAATATCGGTCTCGTTTCTAACGCAAGTTGTGCAAGACCAATAACAGTAAGTATCTTGAGCTGCACAAGTAGGACTACCGGCAGCATTCAATTTAGTGATAGGAGCATTCCTAACCTTGGTGAGATCTACAAGTTTTGTATAACTTGCATTTGCTGGTGGAGCAGCAGCAACTTTTGGCCAAGTTCCAGGAAGTGTTGTTGCTATAATGAAATTTGGTAAAATTGTGCAAAGGACTACTAATACAAATAGGATGTGCTTCATGGCTATAATAATAATAATAATAATAATAAAATTATTATTTTTTGAATGGCCTTTAGAGCAACTGAATTAACACACACTTGGTATTGAATGAAGGAAATTCCAAATTTTCTAAATGGAAATAATATTATAATTGTGAAAAGCACGTAACGACACGTCTGATGATTTTTAATGCGATTGAAAAAAATGTGGGTATTTATAAAGGTATAACCTGTAAATGGATAACTAGCGGATTTAATCCCGAATAAAAAAGAAAGGTTATACTGTATTACATAATCTGCTACGGTGAATAAGATCAAACGTACTGTAAATATTAAATTACTGGCTTTATCCTGCAACGATCAAATATAAATATATTGGCATTCATTACTTTAAAGTTCACTGTAAGTGTATGCAACATCATTGAAACGGTATCTTAAAAACAACAGTGATACAGCATAATTTGTTTTCTAGAATTTCACTGATTAATTTTATTATACTTTGTAATTTCGATATGTAATATATACTTGCATATAATTGGTAAACACAATGAATAATATTTAGAACATATACAAACTAAAATGAATGCTATATAAAACTGAAATTGTGGTTGTATTAATTAATTACATATTTACATTGTGAAAAAGCTATATAATGTAAAACAAAGATATGTAATTTTTTAATTATTTATCGGATAATTAGAATTCCAGGAATTTATCTTGTTAGAGGTTATAAGTACGTATTGATAAGAGTTTAACTATATTTGGGATTTATTTACATCTCGTGATTCTGTAATTACATGTAGTGAACCTTCCAGCCTCATTAGTTGATTACAGCAGTTCGGTAATTTAATAATTAAACCACACTTTTTTTCATCTCTTTTAGAATACATTATATGCAAACCTAATTATTTTAAGTAATACCACATAATAATCAAAGTTTCAGAAGTTTGAATTCCGTCCTTTTTTTTCGATTTTTCAAACCGGATTTTTTTAGATAACAAAAGTGAATTTTTTTTAAAATGTGACATTAAGTGTTTTAGCTACATATGGATTATGTACATACGTTCGTACGTGCGTTCATACTACGTACATGCAGTACACAAAATTTAAAGATTGGGAAACATCCGAAACGCATTCATTAATTTCACGCCATTACTATATGCATAAATTGCAACCTAAAAAAAAATTGTTTACGAATCGGTAATTAAGAATTTACATTAAGGTTACGAAATTCTCTTTTTGTTACCAAAGATTAAATTAAATTTTTTACAAAAAAAGTTAAATTTCGAAAAAAAAATAGCACATTTTAATTAAATACGGTTAGCCTTCTAATGTCATCTTTATCATCTTATCTGTCATCTTAAATTATAGCCGGATAGTCACATGTTGTGTTTAATCTTATTTGAATAGTGTCACGAAAGAAATTATTCAGAGATACAAACCATAATATATAAAATCTGTGCCTTGAAAATGACCTTACGGGACATAGTAAATCATATGATCCAAACTTGATTTTCAAGGCACAGACCCCAATATCGATATAATATTTTGATCAATTGTTTATATCGGGAAAATGTTTATTGAAATACGGTTATTGTCATTTACTTAACATAGGCATTTTGATATATTAAACAATATACGATTTAATAAAAGTTTGGGGTCTCACGAATTATTCTTTTATTTATGATCGATAAAGCTTTTATAAATAAAATATGAATAATATATATTTATTAGATCTGATTTATTTTTATATTTTTATCTTTATTTACCTCTGTCAGTATTATGATTATTACCTTCTTATACGTAATAACTTACCGGTAGGTATAATTGAACACATTAAGTAATAACATTATGATATCATTTCGTATGAACAAGTTTTTTTTTATTGGTGCTAAATATTTTATTATTATTGGTCTTGAGTTCTAGGAAAATAGGAGTAATAGTTGCTCAAGGCTAAATAAACATAAATGTACACATGTTTAGGTTGGTTTTATTGTGTAAATTAACAATTTCGATTATATATCTATAATTTTCGGAGGTGGTTTTATGATTGAACCAAATTAGGTAAATTTTCATAAATAAACTTAACGTTAAATATTAATCCAATTTACTTACAAGTTATTTGATCTAAGCCTACAAGAAATGACTTGATAATAATAATGTAACATAATCATACAATAAATAGGTTTTTTTTCGTCGAAAGAAGTGGTAATTAATTAAAAAGTGTAGTCCAAGCATCTTAATGGTATAATTATTGAATTACATAGCATTATACGTACCGTAAAAATTATAAGCCGTAAAATGCAGTAATACCTTAATACGTACTACATATCGATATAACATTGTAATGTCGTAATACGTTATATTAAGATGGCTGACTGCTACATAGCTTTTAATCAATCAAAATAAAACCATCTTAATTAATAATTAAAGCCTTGAACAGAATTTTATTTTTAGAATTCTTGGCTTACTTTGTGTTATCCACATAAAATATCTAATTTAGTAATATTTTTTATTATTATTAATAACAATATTTTATGAAAGTTTATAAATTAAAATTTTATAATATTCAATAATTTGTGAATGCGAGAGGATAGATCAAACTAAAAATCTTTAAAATGAAAAATCTTTTTAATTATTAATTATATTATGAAACCAACCCAACTG